CATCTGCTGAAAGTGGAAGTTTCTCTGTGCTCATTGAACATCTGATTTTAATATGAGCATGATTTATGAGCATAAATGGTTTGGAAGTCAGTCCTGGTCCAGTATGCAACTTGTACAAGTGTGAAAGTGTGAAGGAAATTATACATCGACACACATTATTATTCCAGACAGACTATTTGTATATATGTCTTAATACATGTCTGGAGGGGATCTTTAAGTAAAAGGATCTGAATACTTCATCCACTGATAAAAGGTCTCAGAGTTGAGATGGTGTAATGAGACAATTTTCTGTCACCAGACTTTCTCGCCCCTCCTTCTCCTCCTCATCCTCCTCTCTTCTCCTCAGGCTAGCTGGCTGGCTGCAGCACCTGTTGTGTGTCTTGACCTAATGCTGCATACCTCCCCTGCAGCTCTCAGCTGGGAGAGAAGAAAAGGAGGAATATTAAAAGAGAAAGGGAAGGAAAAAAGAGGGAGCTGTCAGATAGTAACTCCGGGCCTGTCGGAGCGGGCAGGAGGTTATTAGGGGAAGACGTGTGTATGTGCATTATATATATATATATATATATATAAATACACTATGTATGTATGTGTGTGCAGGGGGGGAGCTGGCCTTCGGCTGTTGTCAGAGCAGCACAGTGAGAAGAGTGGAGCCAGACAAAGAGGGAAGAACAAAGACAGAAATAACCTGTCGAGAACGTAGAGAGATAACAAGTGGAAAATATCTTTAGCTTGCCAGTAATAGTGTAATTTTTCTTTTTGAAAGAAAAGACAAACTGTTACAATAACTTTCTGTAACCTCGCGCCTTTAAAGAAAATGTAATCCTTATTGCAAAAGCAAGTGCTGTGTGTGTGTGTGTGTGTGTCTAAGCATGTACCCACAAATTTCTTCTCCCCATACTGTGGGAAACCGGTGTTTACATCATTTCACTGTGTTTTCTCCTAAAGTATTCATTCTGCAGGCCAGAGTGCATGGCGTTATCAAGAAACTTAAAGTACAGCCAACCACATCCCGTGAAACAACAGTGTGTTGTCTTACACCAGTTCCCAGCTGCATTCACGTCACCCTCTGTTGACCCTTTCTGTAGCCCGGCCGTGCGTGTTTGCCAGAGAGAGGTGTTAAAAAGCAAGACAACAACACTCTCGCGTCAACACCTTCACTCTAAGCCACACTAAGATGCACACGCTTGGACGCTAATTAGCAATGCTCAGCCAAAAACAAGTGCTAACAAGAGGGAGATGTAGGATAGGAGCAGAGACACTACTGGGTAAACAAGAGTGAAGCGCTGCCACATTAATATGCAGTGACTCATGTATTTGTGCTTGTGATAATAGTGGTGTCCTCATGTTAGGTCTCAGCACGGACACATTTACATGCCAGTTTTTATCAGCACGTGTTGAAACTTGGTGAGCGATGAATCAGTGTGGACTCTCATGTACATCAACACAGAGTTGTTGCAGCAGCCTTAAAGGATAATTCTTAAAAACATACTCCACAGAGTGATTACTGAGATCTGGGAGCACAGCTGCAATGCTACAACGGGCAAAGCAAGCAAGCAATGTCCCATCATCAGACAGCCAACAGTTTAGCCAGATCAGAAGTAAAAATCGCAAGTGAGGATTAATGTTTACAACGGACAGTTTGGGTAATAATTATAGTCTTTGTCTTCATTTTCTCTTCCAAATAAGTCAACCTGGAGGTTTGTTTAAAACCTGAGTGGTTATCTTACTGCTCGTCCTGTGTTTGCACTTTCTGACTCCTTGTAGAGATGGTGCATTCCCAGATCAGACCATTTCACAGCTATAACACTAGTAAGTAACAAACAAACAAAACAACAAAATCGTAAAGATATAATTATTCTAAAAATTTTATATTTACAGCTGATCATCATGAGTAATGTGAAAGAGCTCGCTGTGGAATAAAGGTGGTGATATGTTTGGATATGGATAGATACTGTCCATATCCAAAAGATCTTTGACAGAATTTATTTTTACATAATGTGATATATGATATACAGGTCTGGATACATTTCCATAAACTTCGATACCATTAGATCTTTCCAGATACAGGTCCTTTTTGTCCAGTGGTATTGACAAATTTACTGGAAATTCACACTTTTTTTAGCATCTTTCAGCTCATAGTTTTAGTTTTACAGCCTGCAGTCTCACCACTCTCATCAACCTCATTTCCAGCAGCAACAAGTATGTATTGTATTTTACAAAAGGTTTACCCTGAACCAGAAGGAACAGAGATGCCTTTTTAACAATTTTAAAAGAATATCTTTACATTGTTGGCCTTCAAATAACTATTTGCAGGTGTTATATGCAGCTTTTATAACCACCCTTTATAGTATGCGGTTACAATAAAAATAAACAAATGTAAGTGAAGTGGTTGTTACCTCGTCGCTCATCCCACTGGAGTGAGGCAGAGGCATATTTGCTGTGAAATCCGACACAGTGGCGTGAAATATAGAAAGGCATTTAGAGGTCAGTAGAGGCTGCCAATCCTCTCAGCAGTGATTGCATTCATTTAGTGTGATTTACCAAAGTCTCACACTAAGTGCTGCAATAATTCAATGACATTAAATTGCTCTATGTACCTCCTTTGAGCAGTTTTGAGCTGATTAATATTCATTGTGTTGCCTCTGTAAAGCACTTCAGATTCCATAGTATCAGTACAGCGGCACCATCCATTTTGGCATATAAAGATTTTTCCGAGAGGTTAGATATGCATTTGAGTCTGAGACATGCACTGTCCAAGCCTCTGCTGTGTATGTATGAGTGTGTATAATATGTCAGGCTCTCTCAGCCTGGTGCAGGGCATTCCAGTCCAGCGAAAGAATAATGGGATCCTTTCACAGGTAGAGGGATCTGGAAATGTTGTTAACAGCTCTTAAGATGAGGAGGACGCCTCAAGGGTCTGAAACATTCCTTCACTGTGCATTCACCCAAATGAGGAGGACAGAGAGGGAGAGAGCAGTCAGGGGCAGAGAGGAGAGGCGGCAGTTATCTGGGTCATCCTGCTGGGGAATGAAAACGGCAGCCTTTCACCTCTGGCTTTACTTATAGGTGAGGGTAAAAAGTGGGGCATACAAATAGAGCGCACACTATTGGGTTCAGGTTTCTCATGTCGTTTAGGCACGATTCCAATTTTGGGAATGAAAGGAAGCTTCGTTACTGGGATAAGTGGTCTATGCTTCCTCTGCTGTTTATCTTTCCACTGAACATGAAGCGTAGGCCACCCTGTCTGTAAGGGAGCCACCAGCCTTCCTCAGACAATTTTATTTGTAGTTTCTGTTGAGACGCTTGCTGTCACATAGAATAAGTGTTGCTATAGAGGCTTCTTCCAACACAAACCCTGAAATAGTCGACAATAAATCTTTTGAAGGCCTTATTTTGGTTTCATTATTTGGATGTCAGTTTCATAGAGCCGCAGTTTGCTGCCTCTGTTTAAAGGCATCACATGGAAGGAGTGCATAATATGTCAGGTACTGCACAGTAAATAAAGGGCCAGCACTTTGAGTTCCTTCAGCAAAATCACTTTTATAGAGCCTTCACTGAGTATACAGTAAGCCATATTGGGGCTGTGACAGCATATTGTATGAAATATGGCTTTTCCCCCTTCGCTGTGCGTTGCGCGCAGAAGGCAGCACTGAATTATGGGCGCGCCACAATCGTATTGGTCTCAGCTGGATAAGTCCAATTCTGCTGTAAGCTACTGGAAACACAGAGCCCGGCTGACACACGCTTTATATTTTACTGCTTGCCTATTCAGATTTGTGCAGCATAAACAGGATGTTTTAGCTCTGCTCCCTCTTTGTCACCAGATTCCTGCTTTTCTTTCTCTATTTCCATTTTGGGCAATAAACACTTGAAAGGTCACACATCACTATTGTGGTATCACAGAACTGAATAGAATAACGTCCAAAAGCACAGTTTGTTTTTTCTACTCCCGTCCCCTTGCAGAGTATGAATCATGAACAAATTTACTTTCCACATGCCTGGAGCCAAGAGATCTCAGCACAGCCTTTGGTTAACCCCACAGGAATCCGAGCACTCTGTTCTGTTTAGTGCAAATGCTATCTTTGCAATTTATGGTACTGCTCCATTATAATCATGGTTCTGTCGGTCTCCCTTTAACTAGTGTTTCTGTCTTTTTTTCTTTTTGTCTATTTTTTTCTTCCAGGCCTGGCGAGCGTGGTCAAAACTCTGCTGTGGTCACAAATGGCTGCTCCTTCTCTCCCCCGTCTTCCTCCTCTTCCTCATGATCTCTGTTATGACGATGACTCTCCCCCTTCCTTTGCCGCCCGCCGACATTGACCGGCGGTCTTCTCGAGCCCTGAGCTCAGCGGGGGAGTTCGGCTCCAGGCCCAGGGTCATGGACTTCCCTCCAGTCGCTGCCTCCCAGCAGCTGCTCGCTCACATCTGGAAATCCAGCACTAAAAAAGAGACGTCTAAACGTTCAGTGGCACCTAAACCTTTCGGGGATGCTGCTGGCGATGACAAAAACAGCATCAAAGAGAGAAGTCATGCAGACTTTCGCAGAAATAAACACAAAACCAAAAGCATTGCTTCCAAAAGAAAACAAATGGCAGGCGCCATCCAGCACTCAACCAGTCATCAGCGTCCCCATCTCCCAGAGTTTACAGTCAACAACAAGGGGCCAAAGCATAGAATTAAGCCAGGCAATCATAGTGCTGTGGTAGAGCACACTGCACAGGCATACATTCATCTTGAAAGAAGCAAATACACAGCAGCACATATCCCCGCTCCAGCAGATACCCTAATAAGTGACAGACGAGCTGCAGACAGACAGGCAGGCAGATGGGAGGGTAGACGTACAAACAGGAATGCAGACACACAAATACATGGCAGCCATACAACTGTGAAGCTAGCTGAACATCACCAGGCTTTGGAAAAACACAGACAGCACTCTGGGAAATCTGACAAAGTTGGTAAAGAGCAGCAGGCTGTGAAAAAGCCCTCCAGGGATCTCAAAAAACACCATAATCTCTCAGACGATCCCTCTGAAGCGAAGAAGAATCCTGGGCCATTGGACCGTAGAAAGGCTTTGTCCAAAGCTGAGGCAGCCATAAAGAAAGTTGACAGCAGCTGGTGTCGGAGCTTTACAGAGCAGGACTTTCCAGACAGTGACCACAGGAGGATCAGGATTAGTCCAGATCTCCATCCTCTCCCGTGGCTCAGCGAGGATGACATCCAGAAGATGGTGCTCCTCTCCGGGGCCGAGCTGGTCAGTAAGGCCAGGGTGCCCGCACATGGACAGGTTCTCCAGGTGGCGCTGGTTCACCAGCAGGTACACAGTTTGACTGGTTTTAATAATAAGATTCAGAGATCATTTGAAATGTCACACAGTGTGGCTGGATCTGTTTATCTCCCATCCACATACATTGACCATAAGCTCTGTGTGGAACAGCTGTTACATATCACAAGTGAGTCAACAAGCCACTTATGACCTGGTGATGTCCTCAAATTAGTCAAAGCAATTTTATTTATAATAGCCCAAAATCACAAGCTTGTCTCAGAGAGCTTTGAGATAACATTTGAGGCACCATATTAAAAGCCCAATTTCCCCGTTCATGACAACAGTCTTCATTCACCTGCCTCAGCTCCACCCACGCTCAACCTCTTTACCGCCTCCTGGCTAATCCAAAAATGGGCAGAGTCAGAACTGCCAAGATGGCAAAGCCGACCACACTGAGCTTCACAACTCTCTTCAGAAATCTATGGGTGACGTAACAAAGACTACGTATATGACACCCTCTTTTCTTAGATGCTTGGTTCTTCACCATGATGGACAGACATGTACTAGGTATCATAGAGAGTAGCAGTAGTTGAATTGCAAGAAACGGAATGACAACATCAACAACATGAAGAGAATAAAGTACATATTGACTAATATTGTAGTTGTGCTTTAAATTTCACTGATTTAATATCAATTATTCCAGGCCTGCATAGTAATAAACATGTTAGGTTTGTGCTTTTCCTCAACCCAAAGTGATATATCATATAACATGATGTTGTATCTTCTGGCAGACCTTAAAAAGGTGCTATACACACTAAATGTAACACCAGAGCACCAGCATCTCAGACTAAAACAAATGGACTTGTCGGCCACACCTCCCTCCCTTCGCATCATTGTTGGTTTTGCTCTGATGGCTTTGTTGACAAGAAAAAGAAAAGAAAAATACTGAATAACTTCTGTTTAATTCTTAAACTGCATTACCATGGTATGTATACACTGATAGAAATGAATGCAGAAGATTAGTGTGTTGGGTTGTATAATTCAAGCATGTGGCATGGATCTGCTAATTGATTTTCCTACTACTACCTTACAGAAATGGTTGGAAACCAAAGAAAAATACATCAAAATATAAATCTGGTTAAAAATGGTGAGCAGTAGTTGAGTATACATGATTTGCTAAAACTCAAAAATACACTGGTATGGCCCTATAAAGGTGGGCACCATAGTAGATCACATGAGTTTTTCAGGTTCATATCAAAAGTCTAAAAAGCTCTCCTCTCTATGTAAAAGGCTGAGGGCAGACCTGGTGTTATTAATTACCAGCTGGCTAAAAAGGTATTTAATTGTTTTATATGCATTTACATTTTCACAAGTGAAGCTGTTTCAACAAAATGAATGGCTGTAGCCTTAGGCACTAGATAGTGACTGTGGTGTTTAATACAAAATTGTGTTTTAGAAATAAAAACTTAATGACAAAGCAATATATAACTGTATTTCTACATCACAGGAGCCATCACCAAAGAGAGATTCAGGTCAGCATGGACCTGGCGACAGACACCCAGAAACCCACAGTGAACGCTGCCAGCAGGGGCACTGCTCCCTGATCAAACGCACTGATGACTGGTTTGAAGTGTTTGCCTTCCACCTGGACAGGGTGCTGGGACTCAACAGAAGTCTCCCTGCGGTGCTGAGGACTTTTCACAGTGAGATTTTACCGTATCGATACATCAGCGGCACCCCCAGACCTGTAGTGTGGTGGGATCCAGACATTCAGCACCTGGCTGATAGAGACAACGACCAGAACTCAGTACCGCTCAGCTGGGTCCAGTACCAGAAGCTGCTGCAGGTCCACTGTGGGAAAGAAACCGACTTGAGGTCAGCGCCCTGTGTGGGAGTTCACCACTCGGAGTGGGGGAGACTGGCTCTCTTTGACTTCTTATTACAGGTAAGATAAGTGCTATTTTCTTATGGTGGCTTCCTCACATAGGAGAAAGACAAAATCACTAACCAGCGTTAACATAATCTTTTAATTATTGTAGAGGGGGAAATAAATGTTTTCCATCCCAGAAAGGATAGGGTAAGTGGAGTCAGGACTGGTGATAGGGAGGATTCCTACATGAACCAGGAAAGAGTGTGAGACATCAGGCTGTTTTCATCACAGAATTTACAACAATTAACAGTAAATGCATCTCAGACGTTTTGAGTGTTTGTTTGCACTGCTTACCTTCCAATACAAGTAGACAGGGTAGGGATCCTACCAAAACCTTGCCTACTGATTCCTTCGCCGGCATTCATTGGTCACGTGACCCTCGCCTTGCGGGTCGTAGTGATCCGTCAAGAGTGTCCCAAGCTAGCTAGCCCTTGTCCCTTTTTAAACGCTGGTACTCTATGAGCCGTGACCCTTCAAGTCAATGTTATCAGCCCTTGCTCCTCATTCTTCATCCTTTCTTCAACTTTCTAAAGCTTCTTCCAGTCATTTCTCAGGCATCGATTTCTGCTTTAATGGACACAGCCGCTGCAAAGACTTGCATATTAGTTTCACAGTGACCATCAAGGCACTCAGAGCACACAGTTGTATAAACCTGTGCTTCAGTGAATAGAAAGAGACACACACACAGACTGAATTGAAGTCTGGTCTGTCACACACACACACACACCACATGTCCTTATTGGCTGAGCCATTAAATTTAGGTTGTTATCAAAGAGCTTTAAGTGTAATTGAGACAAGATGGCATCTGATCTCACATAAGAAGCATAAAGCTGTTTGTAGCAATCCTCCGACTCGAAAGTTTCCCTATTCCCTGTGACGATTACAGAAGAGAGCAGCAACAGTTCAGCAAGAAGGTATGTGGCTGTTATAGTAATATGCAGCAATAAAACACTGTCCTATTGACACATAATTACATGCTACAGTGATAAAAGAATCTAGTTCATTGTGAGTAAACAATCCATTAACTAAAGGCTTGTTGTGGTGCTAATGTAAAATATGTATTATTTACAAAACACTGATTATCTATAAACCTGCACACACAAGCTTTATTACTTGTGGAAATGAGGTTGCCACTGGACAGGAGATTATACCCTGTGTGGACTAATATTGATTTTAAGACAGGAGAAATTAACTATTGGACTGAAGTTTTCTGAATGTGAATTCTCCTTCCTACTTAATTCCTGATTACTCAGAGCACAGTCCAACCTCAATATGAATGCTATTCTACTGAGACTGTGGTTATGGCATTGATGGCACTGATGGCAGTTTTTAATGTCTAAAGATCTGTACAGTTGCCCTGGTAACCAATAGATTTGATGTCACGTTGTTGACTGTGCAGCAGCAGTGCATCCATCCAGATCTACGTATTCCTGCTCATCATATTCAGCACCGCCGCTCCAATAGTGTAGTGTATCCCAGCATGCAGTGGGTGAGAGTACACCCTTGAACGTTCTGCTGTCTCTCAATCATCACATTGGGTTGTGTGTCAGCGTGTCTTCTTGTGATGAAATGATACCACAGAGCTCAATTAGGAGCCTTTGCCGAATCCAGGTGCAGCATCTGAAATGCCTGTGTGAAATGCTCTTCAAGCACAATGGCCTTCTTTGCTTCCACATGGAGGGAATTGTTTTACATTTTATCTGTCTTGTCCAGTATTTTTAACAGGACTTAAAATAGTATGGATGACTAAATGAAGCCAGTTCTCCGGAGAAAACACAATCTCTGCTGTGTTTTGGGAGAATCTGGAGAGTAACATCACTGTTGTCAGCAAGGTACCACAATATAGAGTATAATATACACAATATATATTGTCAAAATTAAGTTAAATCGTTTTATATAATATAAACATAGACAAACGTGTCAAAAGGGTGGTAGAAACTCAAGGAGTAACATTCTTGAAATGACGGCTGGTCAAGTTCAGATGATTCAATATACAAAATGGCGGTGGCACATAAACCTTCAAGACCTTGAGGCAAACCAAAATCAAATTGGGCAGGCAAAAATCCAGTAAATGAAGCAGAAAGTGCATAAACCGAGATATAAAGTCTAAAAAACACAAAGAAACACTCAACAAACTGACAAAGACAAACTGGCATTGAAACAAGGAAACAAAAACACTAACAAGAGTAGGATAACAAGGCACAGGTAAAACTGAAAAGAGGCGGGAAAAAGACAAAGGCAGGAAGTGAAGTTGCACAAGACAGGTGAGAAAGGACTATTTCAACATAAAACAGGAAAAAACTAGACTGAAACACAAAACGGAACAACGTATCAGCTACATGGAGGGACAAGACAGACCTGCCAATCACTGAGAAGTGTGACAGAGACTGTGAAGTGGTGTATAGCTCCCTCTGTCTTATAACTAAGGGAAACCTTACTAATTGAGTGAAGGTGTAACTTGAACATCTTAAACGTATCCTTTAATGCCACAGTCTGTGAAGCCTTACACTGCTATTTATTGTGCCATTAGTGTCATTTCTGTTCTGCATGTTTCAGAATACTCTACTACTCGTAATTTCTTGATGGTGCATGTTTAGCACAAGTTGATTGTCCAATTAATCTTGAGGTTATATAATAGAAAACTCAAAACAGAATTAAAGAATATAAAATGGATGCTGGTTCTACTGAAAATTGAAAAGGCTTGTTAATAGTTCCACTAAACATGCGTGTCTTGCATGCAAGGAAATTGGTTGCCCTAGCAGTGCAACCATTAAAATAAAATATAAAAACATTTCTGAAGGGGCTACAAGAGCTAACCCGCACCACTCTTGATTGAAAGTGTAGTGGAGAAGTGAGCCTGAATGTCTTTTGTCAGAATTCCTGAGTGTAATTAGATTTCAGATAATTCATTTCTGACTGATGAAAAGGCACAGAGGTTACAGGATGCCAAAACTGCCGGGCTTATTTCTACATAATGGTCCAACTTAATAATGAGCAATACCCACAGACTAGAGGTGTGTTTTTGTGTGTGCAGAAGAGTGTGGGTCCGGGGGTATTGATGTGTCAGTGTCTGTGGGTATATGGACGCGGTGCTGTCGGTTCAATTAAAAATCCAATACAGCTCTCAGTCTGGATACGGGTGTGTGTGCTTTTGTGTCAGTGAGCGTGTGAGTGTGTGTGTGTTCGTGTGTATTTGTGCGTTTTTGTGCGTCTTTGGATTTACATTTTGAGTGGAGCTCGTTTATAAGGTGTCAGCTGCTAATGATTGTGCCAGAGCTGTTGTTTCTGTGCTAAATGTATTAAGAAGAAGCCTTACCACTGTAGATAGATAGATGGATGGATGGATGTGGTTGCCATGGTGATAGTGAAGTATAGACAATCAGACATTCTAAAAAGGAGAAGGTGAGACAGAGTGAGAGTAAGAGGTGCAAATGATGCCATCTCTTCTCTTCCATAGCCAGAGTAAAGTCAACATTTGTCAACCTACAGCTCTGAACACAATAGATGACATTGCAATACAGAACAGTAACATAGGGAATGATGTTATATCCTGTTTCCTCATAACTGTGTCCATTCTGACTGTGGGTCATGCTAACATTGCACTCACCACCTCCATTGTAGACATTCATAAGCAGCCAAACCTCCTAAAGCTGTCAAATGCTTGTCTCTTGAGTCTAAAAGTAAACACATATTAGGTCCTTGGATTAGCTATTACAGCTGACTGCACAGAGTCAGATCTACTTTCTGGGAACTATGCCAGCTAACCAAACTAGCTGCCTATTCATCTTTACATGGCCTTTATATGACGCTGTGGCTTTAGCATGTGGGCAGCTGGAGAAGTAGTACGATCACTCTCCCAAAGCAATCAAAACATTTCAGGATATTTTTGGAAGTAGATTCTACCTGAAAGTGTGCAATAACTAATCCAGGGTGTATGTATGTATAATGTATGTTATTTGGAAAGCTTTGGACGCTCTCGCTTTTTTGGGGGGTTTTTGTTGCAATTGTTATGTCTCTACAACAAAGGTGGCAAGTGCTGAAAATAAGAATCATTGTGTTTTGTTACCTTAGAATCTCTCCCCTCTTCTAAGGAGTCCGCCATGTTGAACCAACATGTTTCTACAGTAGCCCAGAACGCTGGCGCTGCGAGTTTCGTGGCCACCGTAGTTTCTCCTACACACTTGGAAAGATGTAGTATGGTTGCTATCTTCAACTTCACCCTTCAGATGCCACTATCCTACACACTGGTCCTTTAATACTTAAATTTTCCAACACTAATGCACATGTGTAGAGGGTCAACCAACAAAAAGGCAAACCATCAAAACAGAATACATGTTGGGTTTAAGCACTAGGTAAGCAATTTTGCATGAATGGCTGTGAATCTTGGAGAAGAAGAAGAGAAGAGTCTGAAACGTCACCACTAGATGCCACTAACTCTTACACACTGGTCCTTTAAATAATATTACAAAGAGTAATAATTAACCTTGTTTAAGTTTGTAGTGTCCTGTCATATAGAGCTTTTTTGGCCGCAGGGAATTTTGGTACTTTCTTCTGCTGGTATTAATAGAGACATAAATGATTAGTTGAAGCAGACTTTGTGTGAATGAGGTTCTGTTAAATTTGTTAAAATGAGAGAGACAACTGAGCCTACTGTCACCACCCACTCTTTGCTACATTAAACATGCACCTGTTTTCAATGGCAGTGTGACCCATAATGCAAAGTTATGAGGTAAAGGTAGCTGTTTTTTCTCATTCACACGGGCTCTCAACTGAATGACGAGCTCTTGAACCCCAGCAGAGATCCACAAAATTTAAATGAAAATTAGGAGCCATGTAAAGCGATGTAGAAGCCCAGAGGAAAGACTAAAATTAGGCCGTAAAGGTGTGCGGTAGAATTTTGGGACTATACTTATCATGTGAGAGGAATATCCCACCGGGAGATCTTTTGATTTCTCTTGATTTCAGCAAGGTTGAGCGACTGACTTTGCAACTGTACAGCATGGCACAATACGCCA